TCTTCTTCCCTCACCAGCTGTGCGCTCAAATTATTTTGCTAATCTTCAATACTTTTGTATCCACTTTGCCCTCTGGGTAAGTGGCTTCCCAGAAGCATTCACAGAAGGCAGCTAGAGGCAGGATCTGCTCCTGCATAACTGTTAGATGTGCAAGAAATGCAACTGCAAGAAACTGTGTTGTAATATTTAGAAATGGAGATCACTCTGTAGTAAGCCTTTCTCCTCAGAGGGAAATCTCTTAAGCATTAAAGTCAACACTCTGTGTAAAAAAAAAGGAAGAGGAAGAGCCTTGTATCCCTCTTCTTTCTGCTGTCATATCTTACCAAAGACACTTGAGAGGAACTGCATTCTCCATGGACTGCTCATAGGGCAGGGGAAGCCCAGTTCTGATGTGTTTCTGTGTGCTAGGACCATTCAGATTAGATAATGCAATAAGAGGAATGAAATGCCATAGACAGTGCCATGGAAAGTGAGTTCATGGACATTAGTATAATATCCTGGTTCTGCTTTATTCTTCCTTGTTATAAAGGAGGAGGATAAAAATGAACTTAAACTCACACATTCCAGAAGAATCTTTCGATTTCTTTCTGAGTCCTGAGGAGTGGGAAGGCCTCCCAACCATCTGCTTTCCTATTTTATTTGGCCTGATCACTTCCCCCCCATGCACTGTTCATGTGTCAAATCTAGAAGGCAATTTAAGTTACAATTCATTTTCCTACTTGTTTTGTGCTACAGGCTTGCCTTTCCCTTGTGTTAAAGAATATCTACTTTAATAGAGTATACTAGCAAGATTCAGAGACCAAGAATGGAAGGCACTGAACTAGTCCTCGTTTTCCACCTCACCAGAACTGCTACCTCCAGTTACAGACACTGGGAAAGCATGTGACTCCTCATCAAGAAATATGAGTTAGACTAGAAAATGATAACATTGTTTTGACTAATCTATTCCGTATGACTACCTAATAAACAAGGGAGATACTCTTCTTTTTTTTTGACCTTCTGTATTTTTAATTTTTCACGTTATTCTCTGCAAATTGAGTAAATTTGTATACGAATGACAGCTAAAAGATCCAACTGTACTTTGATAACTTCTCCAGATAGATTTTCATCTGGTATATCTAATAGATGCTATTGTTTTCATATTTTAGAATGTTCTAAATGCAGGGAAATCTTGGTGTTTATAATGCATTGCACTGGACAAGCAGTTTTTAGCAGTAGTACTTTCAAGTGGCTGCCTGCCTAAAACATACTGAGGGAATAGAAAATACTCAGTGCAATAAGCATACTTTAAAGCAAAATTATTGCATTCTAGTAGCATTTAAAGTATTGTGCTAGTAACTGTAACTGATGCCCATACATTTCACCTGCAAGTATGTATGTGGGAAACAATGTCAGAACTAAAATATAGGAGAAGCAAGGGAGAGTGAAATAAAGTTTACATGTGCTGACTCTTTTGTCCTGAATTTCATACACCCATATTGATGTCATTCTGGAAGAAAACTGGCTACATATCCTCCCACTCCAGCTTTTCCAGTAAGCAAAGCCTCCCTCCAGTGAGTAAAATACAGTATTCTGTGAAGTGTCTCATCAGCTACAGGGGAATAATGACAAGCCATTGATAACTTCAAGTCTCCAGGGGCTTTATGCTCAGCTGCACCTCCTCGGTCCTATGCTACATGTTCTACCTGGTAGATAACACTGGAAAGGTGGGGATCACCAGCTCCAGAGTCACACTGCGGCTTTTTTGCTGGTTCCTTGATTGCCTCATCCTGCTGAGTTGCTGAGGTGTCAGCATCAGGGCTCACACTGGGAGACTGAACTGCTGGTCTAACAGCAGACCTGTCCTCTAACCATCCTTATAGTTCAGCCACTTCCACCTGTAGCTGCCTCAGCCACCGTTATTTCTCCCTGAAGAGAACCTATGGCTGTAGCAGTCGGTTTGTCGCAAGCAGCGTGTTTGTACTGGTCCTGGGTCAGTTGAGTTCAAGACAGATTTAGTCTGCCCTTTACCAAGTGGGTGCACATCTGAATCTGTCCTTCCAAAGATAACAGAACTTCAGGCACTGAGCTGTTTGGTTTGCTTTCTTTGAGATCTGTGGTTTGGTTGCCAGTAACTTTAGTAGAGCTGGAATATAAATCATACTGAATATAAAACATTTGGGCTTCAGTGTGTCGGGCAGATATCCATGAAGAGAGAAGGCTAATTAAATCCTCTTGCATTTTAAACCTTATAGAATAAGACTCTGGCTGAGGTCTTGCACATATGGGAATTTTCTCTGGTGAAGCCTGATGAGTCGTCGTTCTGGTTGCCAGTAACATGGGTAAATAAAAGGCTTAACAATTAGGAAAGAAGGAAAACAAAGATAATACACCTGTCAAACTTTTTGTATTATTAATGCACAAGTGAAAAAAATGTTATGCTTGTGCATGCTGTTGCCCTTAATACCAGCTGTTGCCTGCACACACGGGTCGGGATTTTACATCGGCTGAACAGCCTTGCTGCCAGCAAACACTCTAACAGGCAGTGTCAATAACAGCAGTCTTCCCACACTCCATACAATTTAAGCTATTCTTCAAATTAATAATAATACTTAATAAAGCTTCATTTCTCATTTGCAAAGAAAACCTTCAATTAATGTTAATCAGCATCCACAGAATGTGATCAGGCGGGGCTTGTAGCTGGACGTGCCGAAACAGTTCAACTGGCAGATGGAGCATTTTCCAACTATTCTAATTAACGATTGCTCATTTCAAATGTTAATGCAATTAAATAAATAGGCAAAACAAATAAAAATAATATACGGTATGAAAATGCCACTATCAGAGAGAGTTCCAATCAAAAAAACTGAGCCTTACTCAAGCCCAAAAAGGGCCCAGCCATCTCCTCCTGGCTAAATAAGATCTAAAAGAGACAGGGCTAGCTTTGTTACGTGCTTTTTCCAGCCATTTCTTGGGATCGACATTTATATGACTTCCATTTTAACCTGCTGGCATCAACTGAGTCATTGCTTCTTCAAGTGTTAGAACATTTTTCTACAGAAAATGGGAAGGGATTTCTTTCGCATATTATGGGCTTTTTTTGGTGTAAGTTTTAGACTTCCCCTGCTGCTTGCCTCTTCTATTTGAAATAATTGCCCGATTCTTTTTCTTCTTCCTTAGGAGTTTTATTTTCTCTGAACCTTGTATACCATACCACTGAAGTAGGACCGCATTTGTTTGGGCTTATAAAGAGTTCAATTAGCCCCTAAATGCCTAGTTCAGTCACAATTAAACCTTCCCTGTTGACTCAGGATTGGTCTTTCTAAAGACAGTGGAGGTGTTTTTAATTATTCATTCTCTGGTTTGTTTCTTACAGCAGTCTCAGCTGTGCTTTATTATTCAAAGGTTAATGCAAACTGAGGACTAGGTAAATTAAATTTGTTTGGCAGCTAGCAACCTGATGTATTATAGACACTGAAGCATGGATGGCAACACTTCTGCTATTGTGACACTTAAAAAGCCATATTTTATCTTTAAAACAATTGCTAGTTTTGTTATTATGGCTGATAGAAAATGAATATTCTATAATGTTATAGTCTGTGTAACCCATTTTTGTTGAGAAAGCAATGTAGTTTAGAAAGCAAAGAAGCATTAACAGCTATTATAGAAAATTGATGTAGGTACCATGACTAATGAAGTACACTGCACAGTACTAAGTCATGCAGTTGTATGCAGGGAATTGTGCAGTCGGAAGTTTTAATGAAGGGACCCCAAGGAATTTCAGGTGAAAGAGGGTTTTATTAACTTTCAGTGAACAAAATGAATAGTTGAGCAGTGAACATGACATGATGTCGTATAATAATTGTATGCCTTGGGTACATTGAGAGGCATGGAGCATAGCCAAGAGCTTTCATCTGTTCTACACACGGAGTTATTTCACAAACCCCTGTATGCTGTGGAAATCTTTATTGCAAACATAACAAGAATTGTTTCACAAGAAATGCCTTAAGACAATACCCCATCAGTTATTTGATATATCTACCAATACTGCCTTCCTCTGAACAATATTAATCAGATATCTGGAGGTCACCATACCAATTGATCCTAATTAAAATTCATTCCTGTATCAGCGACTGGTATCAGCAGGCTGTGAACTGTAAAGAAGTCTTCATATTCCTTAAGAGGCCATCCTGAGTAAAACGTGTATTTTTATGGACAAGCACTATGTTGTATGAAAGGGAGGCTGTGTTGGCTTTTAGAAGATTCATGCCCAAGAACTTTTATTAGTTAGCATTTTCTTTCTTTTTTTTCAGGAATTCACCATATGGATGAGACATTTTTCTTGTTTCATGCAGGACTGTGTTTTGTACATTTTGAATATTATTTCAGTACTGTGTTTTTAACCAAGGACTTTGAATTAACATAATCCAAGAGTTTAACCCACTTCCTGTTTATATTATTTTTAAGATAGGGTAATGATTGCAGGGTAAAGCAGCCTTCTGTGCTGTTGGCTGGAGACCTTAGGTTAGTTAACTTAACAAGTGCAGCTGCAAGGTTGTTTATACCCTGCTCAATCTTCAGTACAGTTTGTGCTGTATAATGTGTGTAATTACACTGCTCCTGACTGATGAGGTAGGTGGATGAGGAGGAAGGTGAAAATAGGATGGCTTGTGAAGCAAGACAGTGACAAGACATCTCAGCAAAGTCTCTATATCCTTGCACTGTAAATAGTGTATATCTGCCTACTAAAATATTTGAGATAAGACAGTTGGGAATATTTCTGTGCTTATTTGAATAATTTATAATGTGATTTTAATACTTTTTCCTGGCTGAATATATCACTTCTCTGGCAGAGCTTAGGACATCAGTTACATGTTTTATCAGGGACTAACTTAATAAATGTGATACACAATTTTAGCTTCTAGCATTATTGCAAAGCCAGTGGTACTACTAGTAAAGTGTAACTGATGCAGTATATTCTTGATTGTATGTAGTTAGTATATTTTTGTTTTCTGTTTTAGTGCTGGACCCAAAGGAGACAACATTTATGAATGGAGGTCAACTATACTGGGGCCTCCAGGATCTGTATATGAAGGTGGAGTCTTCTTCCTTGACATTACCTTTTCACCGGACTATCCTTTTAAACCACCTAAGGTTAGTAGAAGGATACTGAAAGTCTTATAGGAGTGCTCTCCTTCTGATATTTTAATGTCTATGTTGGTATATCCTTTCAGGATGAAACATAAAACTTACAAAGCAATAATGAGTATTTAAACTTGGGTATTTTGATGGAAAGAATTTAAATAACTGCCTAAAATTTGCTTGCATGTTGCCAGTATAACTGAATGGATATGGATTTATTTAGCAAATGGTTGCATAATTTCCCACAGATATTTCTAATGTGAAAGCATTTATATTTGAGTTGCACCCTTTATAAGCAGCTGAAGGTACTTAATCTTTCCTGTTGACTCATATAATTCACCAGGCCTCTATGGCTGTCTTGACAAAAATATGCACCTTTTGCACCCCATATAAATTACTTCTGCAGATGCAGGATACACGATTGTTATGAAGTTATAAGGAATTGCTTTACATCAGTTTTCTGGAAGAGTATGATGCCAAAGTCAAGAAACTCGAGTGGTAGACAGAGATTTACAGAATTCCTTGTTTTATAATGCTGTCAATAATGACACAACCAGAAGTGTAGAACTGTATCAATAACATGAAGGTGACATTACCATGATCAAGGAGACTTGGAATGTCAAACAGGAAAAATCTAAGATTGGAAAAATAGAAATGGGATGGATTGTGGCAGTACAGTGTCATCTATAACCAACAGTAATAATTGCTGAGGAGGATGTCAAAATGGGGCTTTATTGGGTGGTCGCAGGATTATTAAAAACCACCTGCATAATGCATCTATAAAAAAGGCAAATATACACTTAAGATGCATCCTCTGGCCTGCAGAGATAAGGAATTACCAATGTCATATACAAGACACTTGTAAGACTTTATTTGCAAGACTGAATGCAAATCTTAACACACATGTTCACTAACAGGAACAGAAACTGGGAAAATTTACTCCACAGGGCTGGTAATAGAATCAAATAAATTGATGGGCCTGTCTTTCATGAAACAAAGTGAAAAAAGGTGAATTGTTCACCTTACAACTGTGGAGAATAAGTGTCTGGAAGAACTTCACAGAAGGAGCTATTAGATGAAAAATATTTACCTTCTTTTTGACACATTTATGAAAGGATCAGTTGGACCGTAATAGAAGGGTGTTGCATTAAAGAGAGAGTAGCTGATTCCTTTTGGATTACCATGAGTAGACCATTGAAAGATAAGTGCTTATAAATAGAATTTTAATGCCACAGTAGTAACGTTTATAGCAGTTAACACTGATACTATCAGGAAAAGTTTAAAAAAAAAAAAAGAGAGACCTGTGAATTCAAAGCATTTGTCACTCTGTAAATTGGACTTTCCCAGCTAGTGACCTAAAGATGGGTCAGTATGGCAGGATAAGGGATGGTCTAGCTTTGTTTCCCACCTCTAGTGTTCCAGTTCAGGGAAGCTTTGAGGTCACTGAGAGGTCTTACAGGGTTTTACATTTTGCTGACTGCACATTTTCTGACTTAGGCAACTGTTGTTACATAGTGAAGTAAGAATTTGAAACTTTATAACTTTTCCTTCAGTAAGTTACAGCTTTGGTCACACTGAGCTGGGATGATGTCCTGTTATTCCTGACTCCCATCCAGCTCAGCCCACTTGCTATACAAGGTCTGTCATAATAGGCCCCATTTATTTGCTTCTTTCCTGGGCTTAGTCTGTTTGTAGTAGCTGTAATGCAAGGGTTACATTCAGGCCCCCAGCAAATTAAAACTATATTATTTAGAGGATAAAATGACTGTATTGTCTATAAAATAAAGCTTGAAGGTCTCTCAGAGATCCAGACCTAATATGTAAAGAATTAGTTCTGAAAGACAAGTTGCAGGGACATCTTTTGTCATTCTCTCTGTTGAATCTGTTGAGTCTTGAGGTGGTATATGCAATAGACATCCTCTTAAAATAGAAGTTGGAGATCCAGTTTGCTATTTCACCACAAGGTAAAGTCTTTTTCAATCTATACTCAGTTGTGTTTGGCGCTGTGTTGTTTTGAGACATGAAGAATGCAGCTGTGCGTTGCTTATTAATGAAATGTCAAGCGAAGAGTTGGTTCTTGTCCTGCTTTGTAATAGATTTTTTGTCTGCCTTTATCTTGATGCCAGTTGTCATTGTAAGAAATGTGTGCACATAAATCATATGAAAATGTACTGCTTGATAAAGGATGAGAGAATTGATGATGGCATATTGTATTACTAAAAGGCCAGTATTTACGATGAGGGAAATTGTTATCTGTAAGAAAGTAATGAGTGTGTGTGCACAAGGGACTAATGTCAGATATAACTGTGTTGCAAGCATATGTTGTACGCGTGGATTCTTATTCTAGTCACTTCAGCCATGGTTGTAAATGACCCCTATTTTCAGACCTGCTGTAGGATTTCTCAAACTGTTGCTATTTCATTACACCTATTTTCCAGACCCTATAAAACTCATTCGTAAGTAAAATAGCCTGGAAATCCCTTGAATAAAGCAGCATGGTAAGATGACTGCTTATCATAAGGTAGCTGCTGACAGTCAGTGTTGTTGGGAAGGGGTGGTTAAATATGTTCTCCACAAGCTTATTTGTAGCAAAAGAAAGGTAGTGAGTACGTGGAACATAACATATGGCCTCACAGTACGGTGCTATCTGTGTCACTGGGTGTTGACATCTCTACTTCACCACGAGATTTGTGATATTTGGTGCTGTTCTCAAAATCATGGGTTCTAGGGTTATGGGAATAAATCATCTTAGATTTTTTTTCTAATTATAGTCCCACTCCTTACGACTCTATCATCTTAGAAAATCTAAAGTACAAGACTGTGAAATGTGCTGAGAAAGACATAAAATGTATTCCTGAATGTTGGCAAGATTACCTTCCTGTAAGAACATAGCAGAAAGGGTCTAATTCACATTTCTTGCTATGACTGAATTCATACATTACTCCTGAGATTTCTGTGGGCCATTTTCATCCCTCTTTCACTATGAAGTAACTAGATATTTAAATGAGTACTGTCAAAATTGATCTTCCAAAAATGTGACCACAAAAGACCTGGGAAGAAACAGAAACTGTATTTGCCAGATTCAGTTACTTGACCCAGCCTGAGGTTCCAAAGGCAAATGCCCATGTCATATAACATAGTTACTGTTAAAGGGCCTAATCTACAGTGTATTAAAATCAGCAGAAAGATTTCCACAATTCCTTTTCCTTTTCTATTCTCAGATGTTGTGCACTCTGTTATCATGCATGTGTATGTTGCACATGGACATTGAGGAGTGTAAAATAATTTTTTAAATAAGAAAATATATCCAAAATGGATTTTGGATAAATGTATAATGTTTTATTATTATTATAATTAAATATATTTGTGGTGTAACCATTGTTTGATTTGTTCTCAATATTTTCTAAAGGATCCAGATTGCTTCTATAAACACTTCAATGCTTATTCTGATTACTGGGCACCCTGTTGCACATTGGAAAACATTAATTAAAATAAAATTAAAAAACTGAGAGCACGTTTGCACATGAAGATTCTACCTATATTTTGGTTTTTCTTTTTAAGAAATTTATAAACTAATTTTCATTTGTTTTTCCAGATAATTAACTTGCTTTTCTACTTTGTATTTATCTTGTAGAAGAATATGAATTACCTGTTCATTCAGGTTTTGTTTAACAAAGAAAACATATCTATCCAAACTTTCGCTGTTAGGTCTTTCTTCAGTTTTTACACCTTTGTAACCTTCAACATCACATCCTCCTAAGATTTTGAAGTTCTGTCTTAATTCTTTACATCCTTTAATTATACTGTGTAGTCCAGTTCACATTCTGAGTTTTGTATAGCCACACATCACTGCCATCAGGTTTCTCTTCCAGTCTTCGTGAAGTCTTTTCCCTGTGGATCCATAGTTCTCTTTTTGTTTGTCGCTAGCAGTCAATGTCTTTCTGAAGTTAAACCATAGGCATATTATCATATTAAGTTACTCAACCATCACAGAATATACTGTGTGTTAGGTCAGAGTATAATTTGCTCTCATGCTACTAATTTTTTCCTTTTTGAAGTCAGTCTATTTCAGTATTTCACCTTTGTCTCATGCCTTGAAACTGGACTCCAGATTATTTGAACCAGGGCCACTGACCCTTTCAGGTCTGCTTTCCTTATAAATCAATGGCTTTTGGCCTCACTCACAACTGCAGCACACTCATGCAGAGGAGGGAGTTGTCCTTTCCCAAAAAGTTTATCTATGTGTGACCAATGCAGCTTGAGTAGGAGTGATGGAGGGCCAGCCCAGGCTAATTTCGGTTTAGCTCTACAACCAGGAAACATGATTTTTAGAACAGCTCATCCAAGAACTGACAAATTAGCTTAGGTTTTCTGGGACGCTCTAATCAATTAAAAGTATTCCCTTGCCTCCACTGTGAGGAAGCTGCTGTAGCACTGCGGAAATTAGCTGAGCACCTCGTTGGCTGAGTCAGCAAGAAAGCGGCAGACTGCTCAATCACAGTTCTCCTTTCAGCTGCATCCTCAGTATCACGTTGGTTTTATGAGATGCCAGACAGGAGAAAGGTGTGGAACAGGCAAAGCAAAGCATAGATATGGACATGATCTCACTTTCTGCTAAAGGCCAGATGCTGCTGAGGCTTCAGTCTCAGTCACAAGGTGAGGTTTCACTTTAGCCCCAAAATACAGCATCTCTCTTGTAGTGCTGCGGGCTGAAAAATAGAGAAAGGTGGGCCCTCTTCAGAGCGGCCGCTTAAAGAAATTAATAAAAATATTTAGATGACCTGCTAAGGAGATAACCTTACATTTTTTCAGTGCCTTAATGACCCTTCAACCTGATTTTTAGAAATACTTTTGAGATTTCTTTTTCCTGCTGTCTTTCTTTTATCCTTAATGGATTCAGACAGTTCACCTCTTGGCTTTAGCAGAGGAAAGCTCTCTATCTTTGGGATATTGAATGGGATATATAGCTATGCAGAGATGTCACTTGTGGGAGGATGTGTGTGCATATCTGT